TATAACCTGGCTTCAACCCTCGAAATATGCGTAAATAAATGAATCATCTGATTTTATTGTAATAATATTCTAATAAATTACATACGTATTCGTTGTTTTAATTATTGATTTATGTTAAAATATCAGGACAAAATATTCGCAGATATATTTATGAACAATAATAATAATAATAATAATAATTGTTGAAACGAAAGTTAATACACATCCATTTATTTTCTTTCTTCTTTATATTTTTAATATTCAAATAAGAATAATATTCAAATATTTTTTATTTATCGTTCTACGAAAAATTTGTATCAATTAATATGTAAATAATAATTATAATAATAATATATATAATTATTCAAATATTTAAACGATCACAAAACATCAAATAGATAATATATGTTACAATTAAATGGATACAGCTTTTACATAGCAACGAAGACAAAAAATTAAAACAATTTTTATAATATATATTATAATAAAATAACAAAAGAAAATTCTTCTTTATTAAATTCCTCATATGGATAAATATTATATTTATTCAAATTTGTAGATTCATTTGACAAGCTATATTTTCCTTTTATCTAATGTATTTCAAACTTTCTCGAAAATTAAAAAATTGTTTAGAAAAAATATCATTCTATAATTTTTAACACATAATCACTTTTTATAAAAACTTACTAATAAATTACTAATCTTGATTATTCCTTCTATAGATTCAAAATTCAAGATTGATAAATAATCAATTTCTATAGTAATCGGATGGATCTGAGAATGAATCAATTACTCAGAAATGAAAAACGGATTATTCATTGAATAGATATTCTAAGAATTCAAAAGTAAAGGTCGTAAATGATAAGCTGAATTCTAAGAATAATTTAATTTCAAATCATACATGGATGAGCTATGAAAAGTATACATGATTCAGTAATGTTTACTTCGTACTTCATTGAATTTTCTAATAATATTTCCTGAAATATTTCTTATATTACCATCACATCCACGCCTCTAGATTCTTCCAGATATTTTTATTTTTACTCAAGTCCCAAATTTGTTTTCTTCTCTATCGATATATCAATGTAAAATATAGCAAACAATTTTATATTTTTTTTCCAACCAATCATACGTAAATAAAAACTTGAATCACCATATACTAATTTTATTAAAGGCCGTTTATTCTGTAAAACAACAATTTACGAGTTTCTCTTTCTCTCTCCCTCTCCCTCTCTCTCTCCCTTCCTCCCTCCCTCTCTCTCTCTCTCTCTTTCTGTTTTAAAGAATTATTACCCTGACATTTTCAGAGTAAAATACGGTCGACTATAAAATTCCACTACGATCATGGCTGCGTGCTCTTTTCCCGATAATACGAATCGAAAATCGTATCTCCCTGTTGTTTTACGAGGACGACATTCGCCAGGCTATTCTTGTAAGAAATTCTGTTTATCCCGTTATCGTTCGTCAAGTCGATGGAAAAATTTTTATACATTTTCGCAGAAGAAAAAAAATATAAGCTAATTATATTTTCTCTATCTCATCTTTTTTTTCGGTTAAAAGTAAAATTGTAAAAATTCTTCGCAATCTTCAACATTATATATATATATATATCTTAGAATATAACTCTTGGTAAGACTTAGAAAACTTGGTAAGACTTCTTTAAGTAATTTTAAGCTCAATTTCTGAATATATATCTTTTTTTCAGTTCTGATGAATCCTCTTTTGAAAAAGTTAACAATCACAATGCAAAAAATTACATTGATATTTCATTAATATTTCTGGACTACTAGTAAAGAGTTGTAGATTAAACACAATAATATAATTCAAACTGAAATATCCTAAAAGTACAATTGATGTTTTGAATTATAAAATACAATACTAATTAAAATAAATCTTAATTCAAACTTATGGAAATAATTATTATGTCAATCAAGATACCAGTTAAATCTGGTACGTTATTGTTCATCAATAAATGAATTTCAGATGAAATGAAGTCCTCTCATTGATTTTAGAGCATGAATATATCCCCATTCGCGTGATCTGGCATAGCTAATAGCTTCTGTTACAACAAAATTCGATTTGAAGGAACTCGAATCGACGACGAGGCGCAGCTTTCACATTGGTAACTTTGTTTCAAGTTGGCAATTAATTTCAATTTGTTCCATAACGAAGCCCCCATCGCGAGCGTCAAGAGAGGTCAGGAACGTTTTAAGAAAACAGGCTTGAAGCGGACGGATGCCGATAAATAGCGATGAATTTCTCAGGCAAAGAACAGAAGACTGTCTTCGTCGAAGAACAGAAAAACGGTTGTTGGACGATCGCTCCATGCCTGCTAATTTCGTTTCTTCTTTTTTCCTTTTTTTTCCAACGATTTCTCGCTCTCCTTGATGCGATTTCCTTCTGCGGTTTACCGTAGACGGGCACGTGGATTAAAGTAAATAAATTTTCCTTTCTTAATTGAAAAAAAAAAAA